GGAGAGCTCTCGGTGGCCAGATGCTCTAAGTCCCAGTTCTCCCTGATGATGACTAAAGGCCTGGAAACCACATCTCCACCTCGAGCCAAGGGACTCGAGTGACAGCCTGACATGAGCTAAGGAAACAGCCCGCAGTCCGAGTGGATATGATGAATTTTGCACCCTGGACTGCACATTTTGCAGCTGACCTTCGAGCAGCATGCCCTGATCTGGTACCCACGACACGGAGAGTGAAGAACCCGCCCGCTGCACAGCCTGGGTGGGAGGTGGGGAGCTCCCGGCCCCGCACCGGCAGTCTGGTGCCGTTGAGTCAGCCCGTGACTCAGCCCCAGCTCAGCGCCGCAGGCACCAGCACCGCTGAGCCCCGCTCTGCGCCAGCACCTGTGCCCACCTCCCCTGCCACCTTCCCAGCAGGACAGTCCCCTTCTCCCTGTGGTCTCTGCAGGATGCTCTGCACGCTTCTTAATATTAACATTTTCTAATATTTCTTTTTTTAAACGCCTAACCTGCTTTCAGCACAGGGCACAAACCAGGAGCTGCACGAAGCCTCACCAACTGTTGAAATTGCTGGGAAATAAGCTGGCTTTGCTCATTCGGCGGCTGCCAGGCAGCACGTGGGCTCTCGGCAAGGTCTGTGGATGTGGGGTGATGCTGCACGAGCGAAGGGAGAAGGAAGGAGGATAGTCTCAGGCACAGAGATGCTGCTCCCACGGTGCTGGATCTGTGACATGCACAGTCGGGAGGCTCACAGCTTTATGCAAGTTTTTTTTTCCCCTAAAGACAGTTTATTTAGTTAACTCTGAGGAACCCGAGAGCCAGAATTGTTGCTCTAGAAACCATTTTGAAGAAGAGAATTTTCAAAGATTTAGCACTCAACCTACTGTACCCAAACCAGACACTGGAAACCAGTGCTGGCCAGCAGCACCTCCTGCTGCCCACGCCAAGCCTGTCTCCATGCGGGAACAAAGCCGGGCGCTCGCTCGGGGTCCGGGTGCAGTAAAGGAGCTGTGCTGGCGGCGAGCTGCTGCAAATAACAACACACCAGGAACAAAATCTAACAACACATCAGGAACAAAATCGCTTACTTGCTCGCTTCCTGATGCCGTCAGCACTCTGCCAGCAGCACACGCTCCTAAACCAAGGCAAGGAGTGAGCTGGAAGAGCAGGTTCAAGGGAAGGTGGGTGAGCGGCTCCATTCCAGTACGATTGAGGGACTGGGGTAGACCTCTGCCCCCAAACACACATCTCCCCTGGGAACAACTGGAAAAGCCATCCAGGAAGGGACTGGTGCTCGTGGCCAGTGCTGTGAGTGTGCAAGAGATGTAGGTTAACACTTGTGACCTGCCAGTGAGGGGACGGTGCTGTCTGCACCAAGGAGACAGAGGTGACAAGGCGGCTGTCCTGGCGCGGGCTGGCACACCGACAGCTCACACCAGGTCCTGCAAACACAGCAAAGCTCCGACAGACCCGGCTGCTGCCAAACACCCAACCAGGGTGGTTTTGGCCACCCTTCACCGGCAAGGTAAACCCATGGTGGGTGCTCTCCCGCACCACGTGCAGTGCACACACGTCAGAGCTGAGCCAGAGCTATTTGCGGGAAAAATGCAACAGAGACACTGTGCTGTAAGTTTACAGGCTG